AGGAGGAGGAGGAGGAGGAGGAGGAGGAGGAAGGAGGAGGGGAGGAGAAGAAAGGGGTAGGAGGAAGAGGAGGAGGGGGGGGGAGGAGGGGGAGGAGGGAGGAGGAGGAGGAGGAAGGAAAAGTGGAAGAGGAAGAGGAGGAGGGAAGGAAGGAGGAGAGGAAGGAAAAGAGGAGGGGGGAGGAGGAGGAAGAGGAGGAGGAGGAGGGGAAGGAAGAGGAGGAGGGGAGGAGGGGAAAGGAAGGAAGGAAGAAGTGAGGAGAGCAGGAGGAGGAGGAGGGGAGGAGGAGCGGAGGAAAGGGGGAGGAGGAGAGGAGGAGAGGAGGAGGAGCAGGAGGAGGGCAGGAGGCAGGAGGAAACGAGGAGGAAGGAAGAGGAGGAGGAAGAGGAGGAGGAGGAGGGGAAGGATGGAAAAGGAGAAAGAAGAGGAAGAAGAAGGAGAGATGGTGAAGAAGGAGAAGGAAGGAGGGAAAGAGGCAGAAATCAGGAGGGGGCAATCTTTCCTCCAGCCGCAGGGATCGTCGTGAAGACAGGCGTGTTGTCATCTGTTGGGTTTTGTTGAAAACGGAAGGAAAACGATTTGCGTCAGGAACACTTTTCTCGACTTGGATTACTAACTTATAAAAAGCAAATCACTATGCCTCCCCCCCCCCGCCCCTTTGTCTCTCTCTCTCTCTCTCTCTCTCTCTCTCTCTCTCTCTCTCTCTCTCTCTCTCTCTCTCTCTCTCTCTCTCTCTCTCTCTCTCTCTTTCTCTCTCTCTCACTCACTCTCTCTCTCTCTCTCCTCTCCTCTCTCTCACTCTCTCACTCTCTCTCTCACTCTCTCCCTCTCTCTCTCCCTCTCTCTCTCTCTCTCACTCTCTCACTCTCTCTCTCTCTCTCTCTCTCTCTCTCTCTCTCTCTCGCTCTCTCTCTCTCTCCTCTCTCTCTCTCTCCTCTCTCTCTCTCTCTCTCTCTCTGTCTATCTGTTTCTCCTCCCTCTCTTTTCTCTCTCCTCTCTCTTTCATCCTCTCTCCTCTCTTCCTCTTCTCTCTCTCCTCTCTTTTTCCACATACCCCGATCTCTTTCTCATCTTTCATTCCTCTCTTTATCCGTCTTCCTTTCTTCACTCCCTCTCTTTCTCCATCTTCCTTTCTTCACTCCCTCTCTCTATCTGTGTGTGTGTGTGTGTGTGTGTGTGTGTGTGTGTGTGTGTGTGTGTGTGTGTGTGTGTGTGTGTGTGTGTGTGTGTGTGTGTGTGTGTGTGTGTGTGTGAGAGAGAGAGAGAGAGTACGTACATGTATGTTAGTGTGTGTGGATGTGGATTTGGACTGGATATAAATATAGATGTGTATATTATGTGGTTCTGGTGTTCGCGTATATGCATATGCGTTCTTGCAAACATACAAACATACATACTAAACACTTTCCTTCCTCCAATCCTTCTTTCTTTCTTTCTCTTCCTTCCTTTCCTTTCCATCCCTTCTCCCTCCCTCCCTCTCTCCCTCCTCCCTTCATTCATTTTTTCAAACACCAAACGCGGCCATCCCCAAACGTCTTCTAAAAGAAAAGAAAAAAGAAAGAAAGAAAGAAAGAAAAAAAATCCATCCGGAAGTCCGCGTCACAGCAGAACAACACGCAGCCTGCAATTGCACAAATGATGCAGTTCGTATGTGGTTTCACTCGAGGAGATTCGCGAGGCGTCTGACAACATAGTATGTTACTTTCATATCTGGGGTCCATCTAAATCCACTATCTTTTTTTTTCTTCTTTATTTTTTGTTTTGATGTGTTTTAAATTTTTCTCCAAGATTGTTCGGCCAGTTTTAATGTTCATTCTGGCCTTTCGCCTAGGACATTTTGTTTTTAAAATAGACTGCTTGGTTAAGATTAAATGAGGGAGGGAGACTGGGAGGGAGGGAGGGAGGGAGGGAGGGAGGGAGGGAGAGGGAGAGGGAGAGGGAGAGAGGGAGGGAGGGAGGGAGGGAGGGAGAGGGAGGGAGGAGAAAGGGAAAGATGAACTGTTCGGGCAGTTCTAATGCTCATTCTGGCCTTTGGCCCAGGACATTTTGTTTTTAAAATAGACTGCTTAGTTAAGATAGACTGCTTGTAAATATATACTTGTATGAATACTTACAAACTTATATACATGCATACACATATACATTATAGTCTGGCATATATGAATTCAAAGATCCATTCAGTGATAGGCAAATATAGAGATAGATAGATATATATAACAGCTAGACTAGACAGGCAGATTCATAAACACAGATTGACAAGAAGATATACAGAGAAACAGATAGATGGATATACTGATTGTCAGGGAGACTGATAAACAAGTATATACTATAAATAGAAGAGATATTGATTGAGAGAATAAACAGCCAAACATGAAGATGAGTATGTAAGTTGACAGATACGCAAACAGACGCAACATAAAGACAGACAGACAGACCCTGATAGATAAATCGATATAAACAAACAGCACATTCACAAAGAAAAAAAAAATACAAACAGACACACGGACAAGGGCAATGATAGTCAAGGAAATTGGATGCTTAGATACATAAAAGGGGAGAGAGAAAAGGGGGAGAAGGTTAAACAACATCTCTATTTAAAAAAAAGAGGGGATAAATTCGATGATTAATCTGCGAATCACGCAATGCAAGGGTGATTTCGACCGATTATTCGTGTTTTATTCGTTATTCTTCCTTTCCGTTACGAGTTTATCTTTATCTTCCCTTTATTTTGTAACGAACATCCCTTCCCCTCCCCTCCCCTCCCCTCCTCTATCCCCTCTACGCCCTACGCCCTCTCTCCACCTAACCCGATGACCTAAGCCCCTCCTCCTCCTCTTCCGCTGCCCCATGCCCCTCCTTCTTCGCTACCCTATGCCCCTCCCCCTCCTCCTTCACTGCCCTAAGCCCCTCCCCCCTCCTCCTCCTCCTCTGGCCAACGCCCCCTGGACCCCCCCCCCCTTACGCTCCTCTCCCATGCAAGGACCCCCTACGTCTCTCTCCCCTCCCCCTTTCCCCTCCCCCCCCTACATCCGCCTCTGCAAGTCGGCGTAAAGAACAGGGCCACCTTCACCTCCGGAGTGACCCGCGGGCGCACAAAGCTCACCGCTAAGGGAGGGAGGGAGGAAGGGAGGGAGGGAGGGAGGGAGAGAGGGAGGAAGGAGAGAGGGAGGGATGGAGGGGAGGGAGAGAGGAGATAGAGAGAGAGAGAAGAGTAGCGAGAGAGAGAGAGAGAGGAGAGAGAGAGAGAGAGGAGAGAGAGAGAGAGGTGAGTCGAAGCGGTGCAGGATAAATCTGGTGATGATGTTATGCTGTCCTTCGACCTTCTCGCTTCGCCTTCCTGTTATTCTTGTTATCCTGTTATCTTGCTCTCTCCCTCTCTTCTTTGCCCTCACCCTCCCCCCCCACTTCCCTTACCCCAAACCCCCCCCCCCGACACCCTTACCCCGTAAAATTCGCCATTCTTTGTTTCTCCAATTCTCTTTCCTTGTCTCTTTTTCCTTCACCCGCTGTTCAAGGACTCTCTTCTTCTCTCCCCTGCGTCTCTTATCGTTCTCCTTATCACTCAATTCGTCTCGTCGCGTTTCCTTTTCCTCCGAGAATGTCTTCCATTCATCAGCGTCCCTTGCTTTCGTGTTCCTCTTTTTCTTTCTTTCTTTCTTTCTTTCGTCTCGTTCTTTATCTCTTCCTTTTCCTTTCTTTGATCTTTTTTTCTACGTCCCTTTGTTTACCTTCATCTCCTTTCCTCTCATTTTCCTCCCTTCCCTTCTTTTCTCTTCTTCCTCACTTCCTCATATCTTTGACGTCCGTTCCTCCTTTTCCTCCCTTCCCTTCTTTTCTCTTCTTCCTCACTTCCTCCTCTCTTCCGCCTCCTTTCTTACTCCTTCTTCCTTTCCATCTATTTTCTCTCCCTCCTCTTTTCTCGTCTTCCTACTCCTTCTTCCTACTCTCCCTTTATCCCCTCCATCCCCCTTCTTCCCTGCTTCCATCCTTCCTCTTTCCTTACTCCTCTTCCTCTCGTTTATCTTCCTTCCCCTTCCCTTCTTCTTCTTCTTCTTCTTCTTCTTCTTCTTCTTCTTCTTCTTCTTCTTCTTCTTCTTCTTCTTCTTCTTCTTCTTCTTCTTCTTTTTCTTTTTCTTCTTCTTCTTCTTCTTCTTCCCCCTCCTCCTCATCCCCCTCCTCCTCATCATCATCATCATCCCTCTCCTTTTTTCCACCTTCTTCTTCTTCTTCTTCTTCTTCTTCTTCTTCTTCTTCTTCTTCTTCTTCTTCTTCTTTTTCTTCTTCTTCTTCTTCCTCATCATCATCATCCCCCTCCTTTTTTCCACCTTCTTCTTCTTCTTCTTCTTCTTTTTCTTCTTCTTCTTCTTCTTCCTCATCATCATCATCCCCCTCCTTTTTTCCACCTTCTTCTTCTTCTTCTTCTTCTTTTTCTTCTTCTTCTTCTTCTTCCTCATCATCATCATCCCCCTCCTTTTTTCCACCTTCTTCTTCTTCTTCTTCTTCTTCTTCTTTTTCTTCTTCTTCTTCTTCTTCTTCCTCATCATCATCATCCCCCTCCTTTTTTCCACCTTCTTCTTCTTCTTCTTCTTCTTCTTCTTCTTCTTCTTCTTCTTCTTCTTCTTCTTCTTCTTCTTCTTCTTCTTCTTCTTCTTCTTCTTCCTCCTCCTCCTCCCCCCCCCCCCTCCCCCCTCCTCCCGTATGTAATGTTGCACGATCAGCATCCCCGCGCTATCTCCCGACGTGATTTTTTGTGTTGATCCGAGTGGATAATGTTTGCGTCGGCGGGGCCATGTTGTTTCCACAGCTGAGGTTCTCCCGCCCACCCGCCCATCCGCCCACCCCTCCCGCCCGCCCGTGGATAATCATATCCAAATATCGGACCGTTCCTAAACATACTTAATTACGTGTGTTTGTAGCCAGTCGGAATGTAAGGTTCGGTCTGTGCGGCCGCTAAGGTCATAAAGTTGATTAGCTTCGGCGCCGCGGCTGCCACGGGTCTA